TCCACAGGGAACGACAGGACCCAAAGTAATTACAGCAATTTATGATCAAAGCTGCAGCAACGTCCAAGACAAATACAATCGTGGCGTCGGATTGCAGTACCTCAGATGATAGGGGGGGAACTCGAGATCGCCTGAGCGAGCGGTGCCAGCTAGAAGCTGAAACCACACCTCAATAGTTTTGCAGGGAAAAGTGTCTGGAAGTCAATCACAGGAGCTCATTATGTCTTCACGCACGGGCCGATCTCATGAACTCAGAGTGAACTCGAGCACACTGTATGATGGATGATTTGCAGAACATGATAGGGGTCAACATCAGGCGGTTGGCGGATTATACAAACCAGCTGCCATGTAGTGTGGAGAAAGTATGAGCGCCGCACTGATCTGTAATAGCACATCGTTTCTTTTAGGCGTGTACCTGTTTTCTTAGTCAGTATTTGCAGAGCACCTACTTCACATCTTGTGTCACTTGATTTTGTAAATATTGCATAACTTATCTTTGCATAAAACGGGACGAAGTATTTTATATTCTATTCTCATCTATAAAGCCAAAACAGTAGTGAGAGGAGTGAAGGGAACATGTTGGTAAGCTATCAGACTTACTTCAGGCCTGAACAAAACAGGGAAAAGGAGAAATATGATATGATATATATGATAATATGTATTATCACCAAGTTACACAAAATAACCTGATGTCAGTGTCAGCTGACGACCGGCTGGCCTTTTCCATGATTTACTTAAAGTGTAATGTTTATATGGTTAAAAAGGCAGATGTATGTGTGCTCTCTTTACTCTCCCTACATGGTACCAAGTGAGTATTTTCTGGTGGTTTGATGACTTCCCGATAGAGGCATCAGCAAAATGGTTGAATGGGTAATGAATAAATGCCGGTAGAAATTAAGACAGTTTCATGCAAAATAGGCAAAAAATATAATCACCAATTGGTGGCAGGGACATTGAAATCTATTCTGGAATGGAGACAATAGTACGTTTTGACTCTGCTGCCTCTGTGACGACATCGGCAACATGAAACACAGGACTGACATCTTGAACAACAACCAGCATCCAGACATAAACACAGACCAGGCTTATGCAAGCGAGCAAAACAAAAGCAAGCACTTTACAGTCCAAAAGCTTCTCAGGGAGCTGCGGTGGCCCTCGAGTTAAGCCCAACCACAAAGGTCTGTTCCTGGAGCCGGTTTGACCACGGTGGGACAACGTGGAGGTGCATCACAGCGGACTTTGCGAAGAGGACCCGCTCCTTGTGAAAATATGAAACGCTTTTTAACATCTTTTCTGGTCCGTGTTCTTTCTCTTTTAACAATCAAGACGCTGTTTTAGCAGCACGTTTTATCAACCACAAGCTCAATTACTTAATTTGTCAGGAAACCTTCGGGTTCCCGCGGCTGCAGATGTTTAGGTAGCGATATCTCCCTGCAGCCTTTGCGGAGATGTTCTCTGGAGTTTGATAACCAGATGCTGCCATTTTTTAATCCCTTCAGTTAAAGTGAGGTGCAGGCGAACTACATTGTGCATGACTCATCTGCGCAGCACTTTTTTTCAAGAACAAACAACTGCACTTTGTTTTTGTTGCCTTTGAATTGAGTTTGTCTTTGAATTTGCTTTTATTAGATTATCAAGAGAGCAATAAACAACAATTATTGTTTTTCCATGCGATTGCACCTACGATTGGAAATGAATAAGTGTAAGAAAAGGACCACGTTGAAGATAGTCAGAAATCCACCTGAAAGAAAAGTCACTCCAATATTCCATCTAATGTGTTAAATGCTAAACAAAGAAGAGTAACTGGAGATTTAAATGTCTTTAATCAGAGGCATAGAATTGTGTCCCGGGGTCCCAGTGACTGGGATGCAAGGATTGGTGATTGCTATATTTGCATAAAGTGAGATGAGCGGTCGTATCTGCTATTTATCAACCTGAGGCTGTGGCTCCTCTGGCACCAAGTTTACATCACGGCAACAAACAACATTTCAGAATCACCTTTACTCACGTCCTGCTGAGCTCTTTGTAATAGAAATCCTCGACGTTGTACACATCCATCCTCTCTGCCGGCTCAAGGCCCAGATGTACTGTTTCTGCGTGTAGGAGTCAGGGTTTGTTCTTTTCTTGATCCAAGGTTATAAAACAGATGCTTTCCTTTGATGTGCACACGTCATTTGGTGCATAATCTCTTTATGCTGAGCCACTGGCACCTTTATTCTGATATGATGCTCTGACAAGAAGTAAGTAAGTAGAAGGATTTATCAGGCTGTGGGAATCCTATTTAATGAGGGTTCTACTGAATTCTATATCAAAGGCAAATGTGATTCAGTAGTACAATATGGTGGCATAATTTAAGATTATCTGGCTGTGTGCTTTGCATACACATCAAAGAACCTTTACACCTTGGGCTGCCTCACGATTAACTCATGAGTCAATGATATTATCAGATTATAAAGATTTAATTCTCAACTCTTGAACTCTTGAAGGGCAGTTGCTAACATTGCAACATACAATTGAGAATGACACGTTAAACAAGTAGCAACATATTCATCCAGCATTCACACATTGAACTAAGTGAGTCTTACAGTTCTTTGAGAACGTTTCAAATGGCACAGATGGAAACAAACTGAACCCGAATGACCAATTTTGAGATTTCACTTGAACATGCCTCGACTAAAACCTCTCCAACTTGGACTCTTTACTGTTTTTTTAATGGACTGTTTACAAGAAGAGTTCAGATGATGAGAAAGGCTTTGCTAGAGGTTCTAGGCTGCAACTACATCATTCCAGAGGAGACAATATATCTTCAGCTAAAAGTCAGCTTCAGCTTTATTTATAAGAAGCTCAATATTTAATAAATTCTATGTTCCATCTTTTCTTACTCAAATCGTTGTCGTGACGCAGGGGTTAGAGAAGGTGTGCTGGGAAGCACAAGGTTGTTGGTTCGATTCCAGGCTGCCCCATGTTCCACGTCGAAGTGTCCCTGAGCAAGACACCTAACCCCTAATTGCTCCCTGGGCAAAAATGTAAAAAAAAAGCCATGGGTTTAAAGTGTAATGTAAGTCGCTTTGGATAAAAGCGTCTGCTAAATGACCTGGAATGTAATGTAAAATCCTGTTACAAAAATGCTTACAGCTCTGCAAAAAACATATAAAGTTGTATTTTGACCACAAGATCTTTTGGCGAGACATCAATTTGACTAAATTTTCAATGACATTAAACATCTTGTCAATGATCTTAAGTCAATAAATATATATTTCAAAGTAGCTAATGCCATACATTTCATAATTTGGCAACAGATCCAGATAAACACGTGTTGGCTGTTAATAATATAGGTAAATACAACGTACATAAAGTGTAATGTTCTTATGGTTGATATTTTTGGTTGATGTATTTTGACTCGCCTTCAGTGTATTCCATCCAACCCCGAACATACAGCGTCAGCAGACGGTACGAACAAACTGCCTCTAAATGTGCAGTATGTTAACCACATGTCAAACTCCAATAAAACACAATACATTTTTATTGGAGCTCAATAACTGAGATAACACTTCCCACTGCCAACATGAAGGTACAGATCATCACACCAAATCCTTACGGCGTATAAGTGCTGACCCTGGCTGCTCCGCACACGCACACGCACAGACAACTCAGAGCCATGTCTGCGGGACACAACTTTCCTCGAATTTGACCATGTCCTGTATCACTGTATTGCGTTTTACAAAGTAAAGCCTGTTTTTATCATGACTAGCTTTGAGTGGAACTCAAAACAGATGGGAGGAAATTGAAGATAAATGCAGCTGGAGTCCGTGTTAGAGCTGAACTTTTTGGTGGTATGGGATGAGACAGCAGTGATCTCATTTTGTATACAACATAGCATTTGTTTAGTATATACATACTGTATATATATAATATATAGCCTATGTATAGCCTTTTTTTTAACGGCAACACTTTAATAAATTCCATAATTTTCTAATCATTTCCAGAGTTAGTAATGTATAATACAATATATATAGTGAGAGAGATACATTTAGAAAGATAATTGCACACTATCAAACCGTAAAGTCTGGCATAATGTTCATTCTGAAAAAAAAAAAAAAACCTTGGCAGAAACTTTCTTTGCCTCTGATGAATGTTGTTAACGAATGTACAAACGTTGCCCCGGATACAATGAGGTGGTCCAGGTGATGAAAGGCGTAAGTGGTGTAAACAGTTTGCCGAACACTACAAATCTTTCTGGCACCTTCAGCCTTTTTGTTCCTCTGGCGGGGAGCCACACTGGGACACTCTCAGACCTTCAAAAGCAGGCGATGAAGACAAAAAAGGGCCCAGAAGTAAAAAAGAAATAAAAAATACACAGGGCATGCAACTAGAAAGACAACACGGAGAGGTTAAGGTTGCGAGTACAAAAACTCTCCAAACTCATTTGATTATTTTGTCTGTGAAAACAAAAAAAAAACGTTGTGGTGAGGATGCAGCTTGATTACCGTTTGAATTTGAGATTGAAGAAGATCTGCTGAAAGGTAGAAAGACAGACGCTGCTTGCAGGTCTACTCATTACATCTGGGAGTTGGATCAGATGAAGCGTCCAGGGTATTTCAGACAGGGACACACTTCATGTTCCACTTTCGCTCCGGCGCTGCATCTGGGGACCAGCTGCCGCTCTTTGTATACAGCGTGCAAGTGTGTCGGAGTCTTGATTGGGGTCACAAGAGAGTCCGTCTCATTCAATACGCAGCTGGTTGACCGATTGGGACGTCACTAAAGTTCTAACTGGCCGGGCCTACGAGATTAGAAGTATGAAGCGCACGCTGTACACGTAGAAAGTTGATGAAATCTCATCAATGGAAGTTGTTTTTTTAAAACTACATGAAATCCAGCAATGACATTTAGAATCAGTTATGCATTTAAAACTCTTTCGCTTGCTGTAGAAAAAATATAAACAAATAGCGTGTACTCAGTGTAACAAACCCAGATTACAGAAAGGAAAAGTAGACAAATTCTTCTTGATATAAAATTATTTATTTATTGAACAAGAACCATTACAAATCTGATCCCTTGATGGAACTATTAACTGTCTGACAATGCAGGCCGACACGTAGAAATGAATTGCCGCGAGGAATATATTAGCAACGCATGAGAGGGAAAAAAAAAGAAAGGGGACGACAATGTAACAAAATATCAATATTGATGATAAGACAAGTTAAAAGCACCGAAGCTACATAAACCACACCGTTATAAAGAGAATAAAAAGAACAATGTTAGGACAGAATAAATAGACTAAATAGAAATCTTTCGTAGACGTTTACGAAAGTTTCGGCTGTATATCCAAACTTCTTCAACTACGGGACCTTATCAGACAGCGTAACAAAGAGTGAGACAAGAAGCAGGTGTGATTGTGTGTTTCAGTGTGCGTCCTAATTCAAACAAGACATCATGTGACTTCACTTTCCAAGAACCAAGGCATCCAATTTTACAGAAAGAAATCGGGCACACACATTTTTGCGCAATTACCATCGGCACTTAACCCTCACCCAAAAACCCATAAAGTACACAGCAACTTTTTGGGCTTTCATTAAGGAGTTGAGTGGGCAGTGACTTCATAGATTTGGACACCACAAATACTGAACATACATCCACGCCTACTTAAATACTGGTCAACAGTACTTTCAATATGGGTGATTGAAAGTCTTGATCTTTAAAATGTTAGTTAATTGAACATAGTTATAAAGTTAGTGAGAAACACAAACATCTATTTAAAGAACTTCTTTGTTTGTTCTTTAGGATGCAGACTTCTTCTACTATAATTTCAAATCAAAAGAGGTTTTTTTTTTCCAAACAAAAAAATACATCAAGTTTAGTTACACTTAGTTTAACCAAACTCACTCTGATGTCATAAGAAAAACAGCAACTGAGACCGGGAGCAGTCGAGGGTGAGAGTGACACAGACAGAAGCCAAAACGGGGTTTTGTGACAGTAGACGAGTGGTCCCACATCCATCCTGTTAAGACTTCAACGTCCTTCCATGTTTGTGTCGTCTGAGAACCTTTAGGCCTTCTCCAGTGATTTATAGTATTCCTTCAGCACGGCCCAAGCCTTCGGGGCCATGAAGCCGTCAGGCGGATTCTGTCCCTCGCGAGCCATCTTACGCATACGTGTGCCTGAGATGAAGTCATAATCTTGATGGCTGCACAAAAAACAGAAGAGAAATTGAAAGAAATACTGTTAACAATAAGGTTCCCTTCCAAAACATTTTTTCTTGTCGTTTCTTGTCGGCATTGACAGCGTTGTCCGAGAGGAGCATTCGACCGGTGCTGAAGTCACGTCTTTACCGACCTCTTCAATCAAACCCTTGACTGTTTCCATCAGGAACGTTTTGCACTTATCTCCACCGAGTTAACATTCAGAGAGGCATCCTGCTGAGAAGTTAACATTTCAATTTGGCCCACATGTCTTCTGCACATTCACATGGCAGAAGACAGCATGCGGTTGGGACGCTGTGAAGAACACTCGTGAGGCAAAAAAAGCGCCGCTGGGCAAATTCTTCCGAGTGCCTTTTCATTCAGTGTCAAATGAAGAAACGGCTTGCTTTGATCTGAGCCGTTGGCCTTTGGAGGGAGACTCAAGGGTTTTGCTGGTGATTACGACAAGCATCCATATTCCTCCTGAAACTTGGCGAGGCGCTTTTGGCCTGCGCGAGAGAATGGAATGCCATTAATCTAACTGGCTGATGACGAGAGAATTTGGATATCGAGTGACCTCCTTTGATTTCTCTCTCTGTGTCTTTACCCTTCAGATGACAACAGGCCACTGGATTGACAAAAGATCCAGAAAGAAATACTATTTTTAGCAGCACTAAAAAGGTACTAGATGTTCCCGATCAACGTTTCAGTTTGGACTCAAGATCATAAATATGCATCATGGAAAACAAAGCAAATCTTTTTAGTCTGGCCATACTTAGTCGTAACATTCCTGGCCAAACACTTTAAGTTGCGTAACCTGACCTTGGAGGCTGCTTCAAATCCGGACAAAAGGCGGTGAGATTGCATGATTCATCTTAGCCATCATGTGCAATGTCTGTATGCAGACTTTAATTAATGGCAGGTTTTTGAGTAACATCAAAGCTCATACTAGTCCACAAAACATTTTAACTGCATAAGGAAGAAAAACAATCCCTGTTATTCTTGGCTTTGCGTTGTGTTGAATATAGAAAAGGAGGAAAGAAAATGGATGAAAGGGTTTAAAAAAATAAATTAAAAAAACACAGGACAAGCTTAATGAATAATGGATTTATAGAATGTGATTGCTGTTTAGGCTGCTGGTTCTAATTGGCCTTAATGTGAGGAATTAATCTGGAGTAAATCTACCAATAAGGAGTTTGATTTAGTGCGAGCAGTGCTGCTTTTAGGGCCTCCGTCCACAGAGCTTCTTTTCTCTTTTTTTCACACACCTCTTTGTGTGGCCGCTCTGAACGCCTCTTTATCTTTCCAGGGAAGTGCTGGTGATGTCAGTGCAGAAAACAGTGACGTTGTTTGGCCGTGTGTGTCAACCTGAACTTTTTTTTGTCAAAGTGGCACCATCAGATCAAAGACCATGAAACCCATTGGCTGAGTAAACACATATTCTGGCAAATGTGGTGCTTTTATTGCAATACAACTCTCTGACAGATTGTCATCTTTGGCCGTCAGATCGAGCAGCGAAATGCTCATGAAGAAAAAAAACAAACAATATTAACCAAATAGATCATAAAAAGAGACAGGGTGATGCTGGTCTTTCATACAACAGAGCTTTAAAGTGGTGATACGGTGTCAACATATTGTTGTCATAAAGAAAACAGAACATTGTACTTTAATGAAACTCTGTGATGAAGCGGACTCAAGCGCCCCACGGGAGCCCGGGTATGTGGATAGAGGCCCTTGACCTCAAACTATTTCCGTGTTGCATCACCCGTTAACTTAAACAGATGGGGAACAAGACGGCATGCTTTAGAATTAGGATATGAACAAGCACTTACTTTTGGGCGTCATAAAAATCCATTGCTCTTTTGACCTTGTTGTAAGCTGCGACCTTAAAGGGTACGATCTCCAGGGTGATGAGGCCTGGTGCCATGGTGAGGACCTTGGCGCCATGAGTGGGCTCGTACAGATCTTTCCCCGTGTCAGGGTGGGGCATGCCTGCAGGGTCACGGCCCACGATGTAGAAGTTGGCTCCAGCCACCATTCGGGCTCTGCAATGCCACTGAACCTGTGGGATAACGGATGTTAAAATGTACATTTTTTAGCTGAGCTAAGCTACACCAACATGAGTTCAGTCAGCTGGCCTCCAACAGCATGTTTGAATTCAATGCAAGGAGTCATGATTTATGTTTCTCATTTTCAATAACGGCTAAATCTTCACATTACTACTCGACAGTTACTAATACCACAGCCATTACATTCTTGCCCGTGTAGTCTGTATATCTTTAAATCTTTATGGCAAGACAGACCCTAGAGAGGCAGTTTAATTCTTTGCAGACCTTGGATATATGTTGCTTTTAATGGGTAAAAGGGAAAGTCCACTCGGTGATCGTAAGCCGGAGTCTGGCACTCTTAACCTCCCATTCAGAATTACAAATTGAATAAATTCTACGCCTGACATCAACCAGCCTCAAATCTGCTCTTAATACTTTTGCTGCAGGTTTCCAATTATCTTAAGTGAATGATTAAAAGATTCCCAGCTCCAGAGCTACGCTCACTCATTCGAAGAGGGGTTGTGGATGACAGAGAAACACTCAAGTTGTTTCAATTTCAAATCCTCTTTCCTTCCACTTTTCCCTCGACAGAAAAAAACCTGTTGACATTACTCAGCGCTGCAGTCACATTGTTTTGGTTCCCTCTCACTTTAGCGGAAAACACCGCAACTTTTTTTTTTTTTTTTTAAAGGAGGAAGCGTGTAACAACGCAGACACAACATCCTTAACCGCCATTACCTCTGTCGGCCCAGCATACATCATGGGCGATGGAAAGATGGCCACGATAGTAGACTCTGGATTGAGGATGCCCTCCTCCAGCACGGCGGTGTGCTGCTTCATTCGCCAGGGCAGCGGCACGTCGTCGTCCTTGGTCCACCCTCCCAGCGGGGGAGCAGCAGGACGGGCCGGCGGTAGCCCCGCTCGATGAGGCGCTTGTGAGTGTCCTGCATCAGGAGGGCGTGGCCGTTGTGGACTGGGTTGCGGAGCTGGAAGGCAAATACAGCATCTGGGAAAGAGAAGACGGAACGAGGGCGAGAAGGGTTTGTTTGACTGCGACCAAACACAACTGAGACAAGACAAACGAAAGGCTGCGGTGCACCCAGAGATCATCAAGCAGCTCAGCGCCCAACCACTGGAACCGCATCGAGAGCTTTGCTTCCTGAGACTCAAATAGAGTTCATTTAGGGAGGCTTTTGAATGAGAATGAATGAAAGGAGAACAATCACAGGTAAGCTCAGAGGAACTCTTTTAAATCAATGAAATGCTTTTATTCAGGGAGTCAAAGGCTTGATGCAGAGTTTGGGTATCGCATGACTGTGCCATTTTAATTGTTTTAAAGAGTTTTCTCGTGACTTTCCACACTTTTCCCCAGTGCTTTCTCCCCGATTGACATTCCTACTCTGTGTCCCTTACTTATTCCCCGAGGACTAAACAAAGAACAGCATAGAAATGCGGTGTGTCTCATTTTTAAGAAAAAGTATTTGGGTCAAGATCTCTTGGCACATACCAGCATTCATTTCTTTGAACTTCTGTTTGAGCTCGGTGGGTGTCAGTCGGTACTGATCCAGTTCATCGTTCCAGTAGATCTTGTCCAGAACCTGCAGGTCTCCCCCGACCAGCCAGTCCCCACTTTCCATCACCATCTGAAATACGAGTCACAATGACCACGACAGGGAACTGAACTCAAACATAATCCAGACTTAAGACACTGTGGCCCATAAAAACGTCACTGTGCTGAAACCAGACTAGAATTCTAATAAAACTCGAGTTATTGGCCAGTTGCAATGGCGACACACCCGCATTAATCAAAGACTCGGGTGTCGTTAAACAGGCAGCCGACTCTGGTGTGTACCCTCTTTTGCATTTGGCCACATCCACTAGCTGAATTTAAAAAAAAACAGCAAAGAGATTGTGAGGCCTTATTCCACAGTAAAAACCTGGTGATGAGACCCATGACCACATTGGAGAGAAAACTTTCCCTCAGGTGATTTATCCAACAAAGTCCCAGAAGAGCTCAGGATCCGGGCAACGGCTGCTTTTGTTTCAGGCAATATCTTTCAATATTTATGAGACTGTAGCTAAAGTTACAGAAAAGCTGAGCCTGTGCGATGTTAATGTGATACGAAGTGACATTTCTCCACGGGCTCTGTAACACAACAATCACAGCTCCAGCACAGAGACAGAGGGCTCAAAACAAAAGGCCACAAATGACACATGAAGTGTGAAGTATTGAGGAAAAAAGACGTTTTGGAATCCGATGGGGGAGAAAAGATGTCACTTATTTCATCCAACACGTCCTGTTGGATGTTAGTGAAATACCCCACAAAAACTCTTTGATATGCATGATTTACAGACTTCTTCAGTTTGATCTGGCAAGCGATAAATACAAATTGAAGTTGTCCACGTAATGTGACCAATAACCACTTGGCTTTGTCTTATTTAGGATCATGTCGGAATTTGTTTTCCACACTTCAATTAATCCAACCTGTCGACTGTTGGCTTGAGAAGAGTCATAACAGATGTTTAGAAGTACTCTTAAGAGAGATCAACAGCATAGACATGTTGTCATTTATTTTCATAGCATAAATAAATGGAATACAAAATGTCTGGGTGGATACTTCAAAGGAGCACGTCCACCCTTCACACGTGTGCTCTATTTAACCGTTATAAGTGCCCCAGGACTTCGCATGTGAAAATAAACACACCACACCGTGGTTTTCTGATGAAGCTGGCTCCCGTCTGACTGACGGACAGGTAAACAGGAAAAAGTGGATTAAATACATGGAATATGGAGCAGGTCGTTTCCGGGCCCGGGAAGAGACGGGGCGATAAAGCCGTAGCAACCAGCCGGCGGCATGCCGAGCCGACTGGCTCCGGAGCCGGGAGTTAAACACACACACACACACGCACTTACGTACGCGTACACACGCGGTTTAATGAGTGACGCCTTAATCGCGGCAAGCTGAGCACACATGTTCAGCTGTGACGGGTTAGGGTGGATAAAGAATGACAGTTAAGAAGGGTGTCGACACTGGAAAGTTATGGTACCAATTTAGAAAACTGGCAGCTTTCTGCAACCTAAAAACACATTAGCAGGCCAGATTTAATCATACAAAATATGACAAAAAAGAGAAATTACAATTTTGTTTCCTTTGCGGTGTGGAGGAAAACTAAAATGTGATATTTCTGTTGTGCGGCCTGGTGCTAAATGGCCCGGCAGTTGGGGGACCTCTGCTATAGGTAATCTCCATCCAAGGCTTTGTAGCGTCACACTGCAAGTAGGTCTGACCCCAGGGTGTGAAATCACTGAATACCAAACAGGTTACTTTCCGTTTGCGCTCGCAAAACACAGATGGTCAGCAAACTGCAATAATCCAGAAAATGAGCCAATCCAAACAATGGTGGAATGGATTTATGAAAAATCTATCTGACAACTGTTCTTGGCTGTAACACCAGACCTTTCATTCTTGTCCACCTACAAGCCGGTGGTGCTTTGCGCAGGCTGTAAAGGATCATCTCAAGACGTTATCTTGCGTCCACCTGAGCCCTAAAGCAGATGGAAACAATCACTGAATATAACCGCATACGGGTCGGGACGGCGGGAAAGGTAGAAACTGGCAGCGATTCTACGGGCCGTTGAGTTTAGCAGTACAATCGGAGCCAGAGACTCGGCATCCAAATGTAACACCTGCAAAACGTGGGCGGACGACGAAGATCAAGTGATTTTTCTGGCCGTCGTGACAGACCGAGAGAAGCTCCGCCTCCTCCTGTTCAGTCTTTCCACAAGCAAAGAGAAGAGGCCGCCTAAGATCTGTGTTCGATCAGTGCTGAAGCCAAGCAGGCAGTTTGCAGTGTTTATCGCATAGCACGTTGAGAGAGACCATCTGCACCTCTGCAACGCAGCTCGGCTCTTTCACCATGGCCGGACTTTGGAGGTTTTCATTCAATGCCATTGCCCGCACCTCTGTTCGGTTTTAAAAGATTGAAATGTACCTTGATGTAAGGGTGGTCTTTGCAGGTGGTGCCCCACTGACGAGCACACCGCTCTTCTTTGCGGTGTTCGTAAAACTCGGGGTTGCGGAGGATGGCTACTCGTTTGCCGTTGTAGACTAGAGCCACAGCGGTCACGCCGTCTAAACGCTCCTTATCGGTAGTAGAGATCGGCAGCACCACGGGCACCGACAGGTTGATGACGCCACCTGGGATAATGGGAAACCCAAAGCAGTTTTGAGGGGGAAAAAGGCAATAACACTGCAATCAACTATTACTTCTTAAAACCACATAATCTGCTGCCTGTCTGCCTGAATGCTCATTCAACTCCCAGCGAGCAGGCAACAATAGAAACATTACTAAATTGGCCTGGCAAATGTTTAATGAGGAACGAAATGCATTCCAGGACGTGCTTGCTGGACCTAAAGCAGGGACACTAGCTCCGGGACGGTGCGAAAAGACAAAGGCAAGGTTAAGACGTTTAAAAAGGCTTGTATACTGAAGAATCCCCCATGAAGCCCCATGGGCTACATGGGGGATGTTTAGCGAAGCCACAAGCCGCAGTGAGTCTTCAAGGCTACAGTTTAAGCAGCCGGAGGAGAAAAAAAAAATCCCCCTCTTAGGTTGAGCTCCAGCTTGACGCTTCCCCATTCTAAAATCCTGTGAGCTGCTGGAGGGTGCGTCGTGCCGTCCAAATTGATGAGAACGTCAGATCAAATGCAGTGGAAACAGGAGGGCACGCTGACTGGAGCGGGCCACGGCTCCCCTGGACCGTCTTCTCGTCCCCTCGGTCACAGTAGAGAGCCGACAGCTGGTTCCAATGAAGCGCACGAACAGGACTGCCAAATGTCCGAGCGAGTGAGACCCAAGCTTGGATTTGGGTCTTTGTTTATTTTCTCAGACTATTTGATTAGTCAAACAAGCAGTTTTCTGATTCCCAACAAGTTTGTTATAGTTTGGGGCGATCAATCCTTTCACTGTAATATCACCCTCAGAGTCCTGGAAGGAAGTGAAAATGGACAAATGGTGGAGTGTGGTGTCAATCAATACAGAAGTCCCTTCCTCTGGAACAGTCTCCCTCCGGATAAACAGGAAAACTGGAATCAAGACCCGTCACATCGATATAGGCAATATATATATATCTTTGCCTCCACCTGTCTACACAGCTATACTTCTCAGGCGATCCATCTTTCTAAGGAAAGAATGTAAATCTTTTTATCCTTGTAAATCTGGTTTTATCCTTCAGTGAGGACATACAATCTACCTGGCAAAATCTGAAAGTGAAATTCAGGCTGTCAACTTTCATTTAATTGGATGCATTTTTCCTTTTGCTATGCGTGTAACACACAGCTGAGGCGTGAGTGGTCATACAGGCAATAAAAGCAAATTGACTTTTTCTTGGAATTTCAACCAATACATGATTAATGACTGTAATTACAACGAAAGACTCCAACACCAAATGCAAAAGTGCCAAAATAACAAGCCATTGGTTGGGAGACTTGCTGACTTGGTGCAGCTGAACTTACTACTTCATCAGCAGAATATACAACATGGTCATTTTAAAATTCTGCATCTAAATCCTTTGCAATCCCTGCAACAAAAGTTGGAGGTGTATATCACCGCTGTGTAACGGAGCACTTCTTCTGCATGTCAAAACACAGAAAAAACTAATTTATGTTTCTCAGCACATCCAGCAAAACAAAATACGATTAGCAGTTTGACACATGCAGAGTATTTGTTAAACCACATTAAATGCTACATTTAATCACAGTGCTTTTTAAGTAAACAAGAAATGTGAGAGATGAGCACAGCTGATAGAGATTTGGGGTTCAACTGATGGCAATAGAACACATGCTGGAGCTCACTGTGCTTAAGCCATACCATAAAGAGGTATTGTATGGGATTTGTTAAATATACTGACGTCAGAAAGCCATCCGCTATTTCTGTGTAATCCATTTTATGAGCACTTGTCTCCATCTAGTGACTTTTTGGAGCATTGCAATACGTAATTTTACAAGGAAATATGAAAACGTTGTTTTACTTTAAAACATAAAACACATCTTACCATCAAGCAGACAGTCAAAATGAAGACACTGCAAATACTCTCTTTCTCTCATAAAGCCATTCAGAGGAGTGGCCCAGCCTTCAGCCAGCACCTGCACCCACTGCATGTCCACCTGAGGATCGCACCCACAGTCACATTCAGCAGGCTGCATACCAACGATCAACCCTCAATAAGCCGTTCACATGAAAAGGCTACGTGTAAATGGTTTACATAAACAATGTAAATAGCTGTTCAATTTATATTCAAAGTCAACTCCTAATAGTCATTTAGTTTAATGTATTCATTGAGATGTATGTAAATCAGGGGTACCTTCCCAATCTGCACTGCAGGCAGAGTCTCAGCATCAGCCTTAGCCAGGTCCAGTTTATTCTCTTGAACGTACAGCTCTTTAACTTCATAAGAACCATCAATGGGAACTATATCCTGCAGAAAATAATGGAAAATTATTAACTACAAGTAAATAACTACCAAATATTTACTAACAGTTTATTATTCACAAAATAAATATTGATTTGCACGATACAGTGTAGAGACAATAACCTGTTACTATTATTAAAATATGAGGCTTTACTACCCCCTCGTGGTTAACAGGATTAATAGCACAGTTGTATGTGAAGTTGGAACTTCTTGCATCTAGCTGTCTAACGCACAAACATTCTGTGAACGGCACAGACAATAAAAAACAATAGTGGTTCACGCCAAAAATGTTTTAAAACACGTCAAACCACAATGTTTCTTCACCTCACCCTCTCTTGAAGCAGGTCAACAAGCTGCTGTATGGACTCATTCACACTGCAAGAGTCAGTCTTCAGCACCAGCTCTGGGGCTTCTGGCTTCTCGTACTCTGAGTCAATCCCAGTGAAACCTGAGAAAATAAAGAGAAAGACTACGAGCATTACATTTACACTGCTGTACACGTGCACATTCTGGTCTTTATCCTCTATTGCAACATTTGTTTGCCTTTTTATCTCAACGCTTCTATTAAGGACTTGTTGGTGTCATATTTTATGACAGCATCACAATCAAAACAAAATCCTAAATTTACATAAAAAGGTGTCCGCAAATGAAATCAGGTAGCTTTTTTCCTTTCTTACATTAATATAAGTCAGCAGTGCTTTGTGCACGGCAAAAAGGAGAACAAAAAAAAATGTTGTAAATTCTGGATGGAAATTACAATACATTTAGACTTTAACAAACACAACTCAAATATATCGAAGGAGAGACATAAGACGATAAATCTTAAAGAACTCCGGAATTGTTTAAAGATTAATCCGCTGCAAAAAAAAAAAAAAAAACGTACTGGCCCACAATGTTAGAAAACAGTTCCTCTAACAATGATGCATCACTTTTATTGTCACTGTCATGTAGTTTCTGTGTAATTTGACAAGATAAGCAAAAGTTGAGAAAGGGGGAAAGGGTTAGCTGGTGGTACTTCATGTGTCGTGCAACAGCAAAAGTCCCACTGAGAAAAATGTCAAGTATTGTAGATGTGTTTTCTGAGCAACGTTGTACTACTTGCTCTCTGTTTTGCTCTTGGCTCCTAACGTATCATATGGAAGGGTGATATGACTGTTAAAACGTATGATGTAAGAGATGTCACAATCAGACAAAGTACAAACCCTGAATTACATGTCATTTAGCTGACGCTTTTATCCAAAGCGACTTACAATAAGTGCATCCAACCATAGGGGTACAAACTCAGCAGAACAAGAAACAAGAAAGTGCAATTTCATCAAATAAGCCAATTTACAACTTGTTATAGATAAGTGCCATTATAAGTACAATTTAAGTGCTATGATTTGTTAGTCTTTTAGTGGAGGTAGAGTCTGAAGAGGTGTGTCTTTAGTTTGCGGCGGAAGATGTGAAGGCTCTCTGCAGTGCTGACGTCATCAGAGAGCTCGTTCTACCATTTAGGAGCGAGAACAGCAAAGAGTTGTGATCTTGTCGAGTGTTTTAGCTCTCAGTGAGGGAGGAACAAGCAGTTTTGCAGATTGATCACATGACAGCTATAATAGCCCAGGCCGGGGCTCTATTGCTGCATTGCACATAAACAGTATTAAACCATACTCCACCTCGTATCTCTCCCGCTCTGGCTCTCTTGTACAGCCCTTTTACGTCCCTCTTCTCACAGACATCCAGTGGAGCGTCCACAAACACCTCAAAGAAAGGAAGCCCTGCAGCCTCATGGATCTTCCGAGCATTAAGGCGATCCTAACAAATTACAGTGATGTACACACATGATTTAATTAATAAAAGATTACAGGAAAAAGATTGCATGTTGGTATTACAGGTCACCGTGTGTGGTTTTCACCAAACAACAATGTGGTTGTCTGCAAGAGGAAACCTTGCAATGTACAATAAATTAGTTCCTATTCCAGCAAGCACAACTCTGAATCTACAGACTGTAAAGGGAAATACATTTGCTCCTATATGTACTGGAATAAGTACAAAATAAACAGATGTGATGGAATTTGCATGAGGGGAAGGAGGAGGGTCCATGTGGCTAAATACCCAACTGAGATCAGCTTGTGCCGTTCTGAAAAAGGATCCTACCACCGACCACTTTTCGCACTCGGCGCTACTGCATCATCAATTTAAGCAGGAAAGATGAGGAGTATTATCATCAACCCAATCTATAGGAGTAATCCCCAAAAAGCATAGTGGTTTACAACTGACCATAGTTCATTCAAATATGGTTGGATATAGATCGTATAACAGAATGAGGAACATAATCTGTTTCTCTCATGCAACGCTTCGGAGAGTCCCTCACCCTGCTGTAGGGAGAGATAAAGCTGGCGATGCAGACCAGCCCAGCATCAGCAAAAAGCCGAGCCACCTCAGCAATGCGCCTGATGTTCTCTTCACGGTCCTCTGGGCTGAAGCCTAGGTTTTTGTTCAGCCCCTGACGGATGTTGTCCCCATCCAGTGTGTAGCAGGGGATGCCGTGGCACACCAGGTACTCCTCCAGAGCCATGCTCACTGTAGTCTTTCCTGCGCCCGACAAACCTTGGCGCAGAAGATAAACAGCAGGATTTACAAAACAGCTTTGACACGATTTATGGGTTAAGAAAAAAATGTAATAATAAAATAACCCACCACTCAGCCAAACGGTGCATCCTCTGAACCCTCCTCTTGTGCCCACAACCTGCCCACGCTTGTTTCGGCTAACATGATGAGCTTGATAGGTGACATTGGTTGCACGTTGCATTCCCTTAAAATCGTACAGATTCACTGTCAATGCAACATACCCAATTATTCAAATTTTTAATTATTTTTGCAAAAAAACAGAGGCTGTTCATATGAACGGATAGCGCCTGAAGAAAATTTCATTAAACCTTTAACTTTTGAGTCATTAACTAATAGTGGAAAACAAGTATTGGCCCTGACGTAACCGGATTAAACCATCTCGATTACTTTTATTGAGCTATGTTGATGTAAAAAAGATTTGATTATTATATCCCAGAAAGTAAAAATGCAAATCACAACTTTTTTCTTAAGACATCTTTCAATGCATAAAAAAAACATTCACAGCAGAACCGACGACACCGCGGTCATATCAGGCGTTCTACCTTCATTGACTAAATTGTCAGATTCCCTATGTTTGTGTTTTTGGTATGCTGGAGGACCACAATGTATATATGATGAATCATTATCCTTGACGTCTGTAAATACTGCAGTTAAGCGTCAGGAGAAAACATGTCTAGCACTTTCATTAAAAGAGGAATAGGCGCGTGCATGTCACCCACGTTAGCTGGCAAAAGCTAATAAAGGCAGTATTTTGTTGACACTTTTAGGACACAGCAACTACTATGGGCTATTTGTGACGGCTTTAGGGTAAACAAAACAAATAGCCGGTTGCCCCTGTTACGTGCCTACTCCCCCATACAGCGGCAGATGTTTTCTGCCTCGGTCACCTGATTCGTCACATATAGGATTACATTTATTTTGTCCATCCCAAAAACAAATATTAGCATTCTTATACACTCGTAATCGCTGCAAAGGACATGTGATGACTTTTGAAGATTTTCAGCAAAATGTTAGCGAATGTGTGACGAATCAGGTGACCGAGGCAGAAAACATCTGCCGCTGTATGGGGGAAACAAACACGCACGCGTAGACAAACCAGTAGGTTCAAAAACCAGTAGGCACGTAACACCCCACTTGACTGTATTCAGCAGTTAACGGTTATTTAACGGTTATTAACTAACGGTAACTGATTAGCAACTTCTCACCCTGGTAGCGACGTGGGCTTTAAATGCAGAGCTAACGTTAGTTAGCATCATATCGGCGGAACGTCAACGAAGGTAATTAGCGTTACCCAATTACCCGCAGGTTTAAAGTTAGCCTGTCTGATGGTTAGTAGCATGTTGGTGGGAATGAAAGGGGTTGAGGAAAATGTAGAATCGGACCAACTTGCCAAGAGAGCAACTCACCCAGTTTTCGGCAGCGTTGCCTAGCTTCGGTTTCTTGTTCGAGTTGCCGTACGTCTCCATGTTTGCAGCGGTCCGTTTCAACCGGTCATCAAAACACAAACCGAAAAACTGCTCGACTTTGTTGCTAGCCCGGATTTTATTATTCTACAATGGAAGATGAATGACTGAAGGAACCCGGAGGTGCTTGGTGCAACAACCAAGGACAACAACCGGGAAGAGCTTCTCAGCAGCCACGTCGCCGGCGACGCAGTGACGCATTTCCCTAGTGGGCGGGGCGAAAGGGGCCGGCGAACTGATCCGATGTCAGTTTTGATACGTTGTCTTATTTCGCGGCCACAAGCAACTGACTGAATGACTCAACATGTTCTCGTGTGGATATAAAAATATTTTAATTAATTTGTAACAATATTTAGGATTTGGAAAGTAGAATTTCTGATGTGGCTGGAAATAAAATATGATACAAAATGACACACAACTGAGAATTCATAACCAAATAAACTAGGAATTTGATTGAAAAAGTACAAACACAATAATATTCTATTTATACAACTCCTCTCTGCTACTCCCTACCGCTATGAGACGGTAGTCCACCAGACACTTCTACGTGCGCTAAGTGACAGGGCGCTGCTCGCGCTGATTACAGGACAGCTCCTCCAAACTAAAAGGAGGTCGTGTGCGCGAGGATCTGGGAGGATCTGGGAATTTGCGGGGGGCTCCGGGGAGGAGCACCACCTCGAAAAAAAAGCCAGCGCCACCGACGCGTGTGATGTAGCAGTCCATCCCGAGAAGCGACCGAGCAGGGCGCAGCATCAGAGGAGCAACTGCAACTACGGGAAGAGGCGCTAGGAGGCCCGATCCAGGCAGGTAGGATGCTGCTACACGGCGCGCAACATGTGTATCGATACGCAGCTCTTCGTGTTCGGCGTGCGTTGGGTTTCTTCAATTGGGACATGGTTGTGTGCGTGATCTTCAGTAAGCGGGAACCCGGTAGCCGAATTGTTTTTTAATGCTGCTTACATTCAACTTTTTTTGTGGGGGGGGCAGTCTTGTTTAGAGATGCACTGTGAGTATGGATTCTAGGAAAATACACATCTTCGAATTGTCCTTTGCAGTGTGAGGCTCAAGGGTTGGCATACATTCATGCAAAAAGTTGTCTTTCTGTTGATCAGTAGGCATCAGCTTGGAGATATGCAAATAAGTAACGTCACGTGGCATTCAGAGACTTAATAGGCAAGTTGTCACACAAGCTCCACGTTCATTCTGAATTACACAGTAATACCCAGCACACAGGCGGTGTATGCTCGTCATGCAGCTGTGTAATAATTCATTTTCTAACTGTAACAGCCGAAAAACGAGCGTGCTTAATTACAGGGTTTGTTGTGACCTTGCTGCCACACCCAGTAGCCTCCCACGGAACATGGTGTTTAGCACTATTTCTGGGGGCCACTGTGCTGCAACACCCGAAAAGTCAACTTCAAACTGCTGCACTCACCACATGTGACAGAGGGCTGTCCTGTAATAACTGGGAGCCATGGGAGACACCCAGTCCTGACCCTGACATTACTGTCAGTAACCACCCCGCAGGTGGTTATATGGACCCCGGAGAAACAGGGTCCGCTCCAGGCTCACTGGGACCCTTTGGGCTTGTTAGCAGCTTCAATCTGTTAGTGTTGTAGAGTAAGTTATAGTAAGTAATGAACATCATAGAGGGAACACCACAGGTTTGCAAATGTTTGCTTGTAGTAGTTCACTTTAATACGTTACTGCAGTGTTGCGGGGATGTCAACATCTACTAAGCATATTTCTACTAATACTCCCATTACTTATTTTCATCCCATACTTATGTACTGCAGTACATTTAGTTGATAATTATAAATACTTTAGAGTAGACACTATGATGCTTGTCTTCCATTAAATTAATGCACTGTATAAAGTAGTTAAAATAAGCTCCTAAAATGATGTTCTGCTAAACATGCATTATATAACTTTTCATCAAGTCCTCTCTGTAGTATCAACAGTCCTTTAGGGGCCGGGCCGCCTCTGGTGCCCTCCCTTTGAAAAAGTCAATCCGCACGATGTAAAGAAGAAAAATGAGAGAACAGCAAGCAAAGCCTGTTATTAAGTCCCAAAATGGAGTCAAAACCCAGGTTTCCCGAGAGTAAAATACAGCCTTCCATTCAGCTGGGTGGCTTTTCTTGAAATAGCTTGAGCGAGTGGATGCAGCCAAGTTATCCATTATGGGCCGTGACCATGAGGAGTAGGTTTTTCTGCCAGTTTTCCATCAACACGCATCCCTTTAGAGGGCCGGGTGCTCCAGCGGGTGGGAAAGCAGAGTACTGCACACTGGGGAGGAGAAGACTGCTGGAAAACGGGTCTAATGGAAACACCGAAGCCCCGCGACTATATGCAATAAACTATTGCAGGTTGTTCAGAAGAAAAACGCACAGAAGGGATTGTGTACCAACAATACTGATCAGGAAAGTAACTGAATGTAACTGTGAATAATAACTATGACATGTGCAAATTGTCGGATTTTAGTAACCATAACAAGGTAGAGCACAAAAGTTCCTTCTTGATCTTTGAAAATAGTAGTTCAACAAAATCTTCAACTTTTTCAGTAGTTTTCAACCTACTGCTTTTTCATATCAAATAACGTCTGTATCTTTTCTTAACCCTGACCTTAACATTTCCCTATCCATAAACCAAGTACTTTTACTTGCCAACAATCTCCCAAACCATAAAAATGTCCTGTGAGGCTTTACAGCAACATTTCCCCGGCTTCTCTACTTTAAAGCGCCTGATGTTAATGCAAGTTTTATCGTCACACAGCACATTTAACCCGTTCTACTGTTGGCAGCGGGCCGTTACCCTGGTAGAAGTTTGTGGATTTTGTCCCTTGCTCAAGGTTACCCAGGCAGTGAGGAGGCAAACTGGTCCGTGCACGGACTTGTTCAACCGTCTAGTTTCCCCACAGACTGAATTACCTTGTCCCCGACCTGCTGGCGCGTCGCACCCCTCGCTTCACCCGGGATCGACGCCGCCGTCAGTCGCTGACGCCATGCGCTGTCGCAGCGTTTCGTTAATCTACGGGGCCGGCAGCAGATGGGTTTCTGGGTTAAATTGTCCCCAGTCGATCTTTCTGATGTTTATCTTGAGAACAGGCATTTTGAAATTGAAACTGAGCTGATTGATTAGAGGGGGGGGAAAAAATCAACCACAGGATGTTCTCACTAATAACAGAAGGGCAACGTGACATTGTAATTGGCTCATATTGCTTGTCTGCTCCTGTTCATCATATTTGCCATGTTAGTCTCTATATACTCTAAACTTTGTCAGACCTTGTGTCCTGTGACCATCCATCAGTGGCATAAAATAGGTTGCATCTGCTTTGGGTTAGTCGGAGGGCATTCGCCATTAATCCTTTTCTTGCTATAATAATATTTTTCCAAAAATTGATTCTTAGGAAACTGATACTTTCAGCAGCTCTCTCGTGTCCACCCGTACACCATATTTATCCCCCCCAGTAGAACATGCCATTGAATCCGAGATGACATTTATTGTGATGCATTTCGGGGCTGATTGCATAACGCTCAAATCCATTAATGGAGCTGTAAAAGCGACTAAAAGGCTTTCAGACACCAACAGAGGGAAATGGTCAATGGTGTTGTGGACTCTCAAGTCATTAAAAGAGCTCAATAACAAACATTGCAGAAGCATCCCGCCAACTTTATCATCTGAGTGTCATTACAAACAATAATCACAAACCATTCACCTCTGGCTCTTTGAGTTACTTTTTGTTGTTGTTGTTTTTTGTCGATGTAACAGATTAATTTAGTAGCTGCAGATTCGATTGAATCACACAGTCTTCCTCAGAGGACGGCGTGTGCCCTGTTGTCCCTGTTGACTTTTAAGCCACCCTAAGTAAGTGGTCCTTAAGGCAAAAAGAAAAGCGTCTCCTCAAATATAATGACAATTTAGTAAACTCCATCTGCAGAGAAACATGGCGGGGGTCAGGTTGTTCTGTAAACTGTTTATAAAATCAATGATGGACTTTCGATATCAACAAGTTCAATTCATTTTAGTTAGTTTAGCATTCATATAGCTCGAAACTTTTATAATAAGCATGCATATTCTTTTGATGGAACAAAAAGAATGTTTGACCGTGCAAACCGCTGAAGTAACTGTAGCAGCTGCTTGCTGAGAACGAAGCCTGAACATTAAAACAGTGAAAGACTTTGAAAGGCCCAAAATACAAGTCAGACTAAACCTCCAAACAGAAAACTGTCCCAGTGGTTGTGGTGAATGTCCTCACACAACCACATTAGTATATCCATGGCTGGCTATGAAATACACAATAGTTTTCCAGTCCAAAATGGACATTTTCAGCCAGTGCGATCGAGACCCGTGCATCAGTATCCAGCCCGCAGGCCTTACTTTGGGGACCACTGTTTTACACCTTTTCTTTTTCGGCAGCTACAAAGCCTCTACACCAGTGAAGCGGTGCCTGTGGATGGACCATGCAGGCACCAATGGCGTCACAGGAGCATGTGGATGCGAGAGCCGCTGATAATCTGACCCCAGTAATGGAGGGCGGTGCTGCGCCCGGCAACAGTACAAACTGTCCTGTCCACGCGCCCGGCGAAGAGGACACCAAGCGGAGCTTTCGGAAAGGCATAGGGAGGCATAATGACTACGTGAAGATTTCCGTGCCAGAGTCCAAGGTCAATCGTCTGCCAATGGAGTGGTGGAAGACGGCGCTGACCGTCTTTTATGCCGGCTTCAACTTGGTCCTGACCACAGTCGTCATCACCATTGTCCACGAGAGGGTCCCGCCTAAAGAAAGCAGCCCACCTCTTCCTGATAAGTTTTTTGACTATATTGACAGGGTCAAGTGGGCCTTTACGGTGACAGAGGTCAATGGCATGGTGCTGCTGGTTATTTGGATGATTCAGTTATTCTTCTTCCGATACAGGTAAGCACAACGAACTGGCCTTAATAATATTGTTTTGTGTAGTATTGTTTGCTCAGAAAACATCTGTTGAGGCCTCCATTATTCCAATACAGAATAGCACATGCTGTCTCTCAAAAAAGGTGAAGAAATGGTTAAATGTCTTGCGGTTGGATGTTGTGACGTATCTGTGCTCTTTACAGCTCTTGCCGGAGAAAAAAAAAAGAGGAAATCGAGAAGATCAAAGCTGCACTGGTCTAGTTTTTCTAGTTTAGAGTTTATGTTCATCATGAACAGTTTAGAAAGCTGTCTTTGTTCTTTAGCCGGCACCAAAACCAGACCACCGAAGTGTACCCGGTGCAGAAAATTCAATTTGACATCACGTCTCCAAGATTTGGCTAATTATCTAAACATGTGGGGAAAAAAGCTAAATGAGCAATGACATATTTCACACTGCAACAACTGGAGGCTTTCCGTTGTCATCATGTGTTCTTGTTAAAAGTCAGTTTGGCTCAAGAAAGTCTCCACAGTTTAGTAAATTTGAGCAGATGTTTCACTCAAAAATATGATACTGCATATATATATATATATATATGCAGTTATATATAATCTCTATTTGCAGGTCAATAGCCAGCAGGCGGTTCTTCTTCCTGATTGGCACCCTGTACTTGTACCGCTGTGTCACCATGTACATCACCAC